CCCACAGGGATCCCTGCGGGATCGGGCCTAAACCAGCAGTCAGACATCCCCCAAGGGGTCCCGGATTGCGAGAGGGTACAGGCCAAGCTGAGACACCCCCCACCCATGCAAGAATTTTGTGTACCGGGCCTCTAGTCTACTATAAAGACTGCCCCTCTCCTAGGGCCAGAGGCTGCCTCTTCCAGGCTCCAGGGGGTTCCTCCAGCCAAGTAGCAAGCAGGTGAGCCAGGCCCCACCTTCCCAGCAGTGCCTGCACGTGGGTCTCCTGGTGCTGGGCCCACGCCGGGTCTGTGAAGGACACAGGCTGGATGCCGGGACTTCAGGCAGGGTGCTGACTCCTGACTGGGGCAGTCCAGCACCTGGTTCCTAGCAGAGGCTCAGTGACAGGGTGGGAGCACTGGCGGCCCCCTCTGCACCTCACACCCACTGCTGTGTGAGGGTCCTCACGCCCTCGTCAGAAATGAGGGAGGGTTGCCCTGACCAGTTTGGCTCAGTGAATAGAGCGTCGGCCTGTGGACTCAGGAGTCCCGGGTTCGATTCCGGTCGAGGGCATGTACCTTGGTTGCGGGCGCATCCCCAGTGGGGAGTGTGCAGGAGGCAGCTGATCGATGTTTCTCTCTCATCGATGTTTCTGACTCTCTATCCCTCTCCCTTCCTCTCTGTGAAGAATCAATAAAATATATTAAAAAAAAAAAAAGAAAGAAATGAGGGAGGGTTATCCCCCACCGCTCAGTGTCACATGACTTACCCATCCAGGGTGGCACAAGAAGGCCAAAGATCAGTGCTTCCCCCAGCAACTGTTCCCAGGAACTTAACCCGACTTGGTCAAGTCATACAGACAGTCCTTGGAACCAGGGGCCTCTGAGCAGGATGGAGTGAAGAGAACAGTCTGGGGGGATACACTTGGGTTGAAAATCTGGCTCCACCACTCAATCACCACAAGACCCTGAGCTGGTTCCTTAACCACTGAGCCTCAGTTTCCTCATCTGTAAAATGAGAACAATAGTGTCATTCTTCTGTGCCAAGGTTGTGGCAAAGACTTGAGTGAGATAATGTGTGTAAATAGCTTAGCACAGGGCCTGGCCCACCGGAAGCATATAATTGGCAGTAATAATAATTACTATTATTATTACTATTACTAGAGGAGGGCAGAGTCTTCCAGAAAAAGGAGCCTGTGAGTGAGTGAGCTTGTCAGCAGTCTTCCTGATCCCCAGGCAGCTTTTCAAGTCATGCAGCAGAAAGTGCAGGGAAAGGATAATGTGTTTGTGTTTCTAAACCACAGTCGATCCGTATCTTTCCTCTTTGGTCCTAACCCAGGTTCCCAGCCCTAGCTGTAGGTGCTCAGACGTTACAGCAGGCCCCGACAGCCACAGGCTGAGAATGAGCCAGGAAGCGCCCGCCCCACCCCGCCCAGCGTGCCTTCCCAGACAGTTCGGGTTGGCCAGCGCCCCAGTGCTGGTGGGGCTCCAAGAGCCACTGGCCGTGGTGAAATGTCAGTTCTCAGTGTCCCTGTCTAGAGCTCCTGCCCAATTTGTAGAATGGCAGCATATGGACAACTCCCTCGACCTGAATGCCTCTGCCAGCTGCCAGGGCTCTTCACACTTGGGTTGCGGGAAACGAGTTAAGTCGGCTCGCGTGAATTGCGCGTACTCCGCGGGAGCCGTCTTAAACTCGGTTCATATAGATTTGCGGTGGAGTGCGGGAAACGTGTAAACTCGGGCCGATTGTAACTGCGTATTACCAAATATTTCATTTCAATCGAACCCATACTTCAAAAGATATAGGCATTTTAACGCGCCATCTTATATTTTGGCGGGAAATTCACCCGACACCGTAGTGTTCAAAGGAGGGTGTGCCTGGTCCCTTTCCCTGTGCCCAGCACAGCGCCATGGGAACAGGGCCAGAGGGAAGCACATGGATGCTGGAGGAGACGCTGTCCTCCAGGCTGTTCCTGCCACTTCCTGCACTCTTGTTCTGCCCTCTCATCCTGGACAGGGTTGAGTTGGGGGTGAATCAGAGGAGGATAGAGAAGGGGGATCACACACAGGAATTAACCACTCAGGACCTAGTCTGCACATCCCAGCCATCCTAATTTGCAGAGGTCACCCAGCCCAGGGGCACTGACCCACCTGTAGATGCAACCACAAGTGCAGAAACGTGGGGTTGTGATGGGCCGGAGAGTCCTCTCGTCTAGCCTAGTATCCAGTACGGGAACCTTTGCTCTAGCATACCTGACTGATAGTTATCTGGGGTCTTCAGTGATGGGGGGGGGGGGGGATTCACTACCTCCATGGTCAGTCTTATTTGGGGGTCTCTGACTCTCCACAAACCCCATCGATGTTCCCAAAGGTAGGAGGACCTCAGGGTTACCTAGACTCACTCCTTACAGGATGAGGATGGGACTTGGCTAGTAGCCTTTATGGGATACCCAAGCCTGGATTCAAACCAAATTAAATACCAGTTCACTTTTGATAATATTCTAATGTTCACACTTTATCACAGTTCAACAGTTCAGAAGTACCGCTTGGAGTTGTCGTTTTGATATATAAGGTATTTGTATAAAAAGAATGAATTCATGTGTGCATCTGTGAGTCAGTAAAATATAATTTAGGGTGTTGATTCGAGGTTCAACAATGTTAGGCATTTCATTCTAGCTTTGGTTCATGGATCATTTCAAATCCTCAGCAACCAATTCTCCCTGCAAACCACCCCCCCCCACCCCCACCCCCACCCCCCACAGCATAATGGGCTTTCCACAGCCAGGACTCCTGTGTCCCTGGGTAACTAAGCTTGGGGAAAGCCATATTTGTATCACAGGGCCCTTTGTGCTTTGGGTCCCCAAGCAGCTTCTTGTTGGGGTGAAGATGGGGTGAAAGGGGTGAGGGAAAGGGAAGACACAAAGTTGCTTATAAAAATCAGGGCCTAAGGCGTGGCCTGAGGAAAGAAAAA